GCATTATTCGGTTAAAACTGAAACACCAAACCAAAGAATCTATTTTGGTTTGGAAGTCAAAACATTCCGGTTTGGTTTCAAAACCAATCCGAATTAAAATTTTCAGTTTGGTTTCGTATTATTTTGAAACCAATCCAAACCAATAACCAAATTAAAAAAATTAATATAATGTTATTCATATTATATAAATATTTTATTATTTTATTTGTATAATTCTTTTATGCTTTAATATTTTTATCTAAAAAATATATAAGCTCTCTTCAATTTAAGGTTTCCTTTGAAAGGTATTCATATGCATCACCTACCCCTAAGGTTCTAACTCTAACCTTTCTTCTCCAAAATCAACATATCCCCACAACTATTATTTTCTCTCAAAATGAATAAACCAAGATTCATTTCCAAACAATCCTCTTCAGGATTCAACACTTAGTCACTTCTTTCTGAGTGATTGACTATTCTTTCTTTAATTTATGACTTCTTGATTTAAGCTTAGTGTTCTTGGTATATATCTTTTTCTTTTTCTTTTCTGCCTTACTTTGTGTACTGATCCAATTCAGTAGCCATTTTCTTTATTCATAGCTGTTTCTTTGCAATCTCAATCCAAGCACAACATCTAGTTAAATGGATGAGATTATCTACAATATACTCTCTAAAGTTTAAGAATGAAATTTTTTTTTTCATGTTTTAATTTACATTGTTAGACAAATAAGAAACCAAACCAAACCAAATTATTTCTGTTTGGTTTGGTTTCTATTGTAATTTGGATTGGTTTGGATTCAAAAAATTTAAAAGCCAAAATATTTTGGTTTGGTGTGGTGTGGTTTTCCCTTAAAACCAATCCAAATTGGACCATACTTACCTCTAGAAGGTGCTTAAAGAAGGTAGATTTAGTGACACTGGTCCTAAAATTTCCTTATTTTAGTGCTTGGAATCAAGTTTCCCCCATGTAGAAAGTCCCCTGCTGTTATGTGATTGTCAGCTTTTACTGTTCTCATGTTTTCCTCTAGGATTAAGACTGTGATTTCCTTTGTTGTGGCAAATGATTGGGCATGCAGATAATATTCTTGATCTGACTATGTTATCATCTAGAGTTCTATCATGAACTTTGGGAGAGTTTATTTAACTATCATGGCAGATGTGGAGGATCACTTAAAGACTTGTTTGCTTCATTAGGTTTTTTTTTTTCTTTTTTTTCTTTTTTTTTCCTGTTGTTGTTGTGGTTTGTTTTACTTCCCATGATGATATCTGAGACATGAGCATCAAGAGGTAGTGACAGGTAATTGACTCGTCGGCTGGGGATTGTATTGCTGTATTCAATTATCTTCTCCGATAGGCATAGAGCACTGGTTAGTTTGACATTGAAAGACTCCAAAATATTAACTGTTATGTTTATCATGGAAGGAAAACTGGTTTGAACCGTTCTTCATCCAAGTTTTCCCCTGTTTTCCTTTCCCACTGACTTTCCGATTTTGCTTGTAACTATACATTGGTAATTTTTTATGTCGCATTGTTATAATCATTGTGACAGTTCTGAGTACTGATAAGGGTAAACTGCAAGTACACAGGCCGGACAAATAATAAAAGTGATATTTTGGTCGAAATGTCGATCCCACAGAGATTAGGGAGAAATTTGTAAGTATCAAATATCATCTTACTCTTATTAAAGTTGATTCAATTAAAGAATATCTATGAAAAATTAACTAGAACAAAATTAATTAGTAAAAAGCGAATTTGAAAAATAATGAAAATTCAAAATGCAAGTAACAATCTAAAACCAAATAAAGAAACAATTCATGAAAACAGTGCATTATTCCTATGAAATTAAAATGGACAACCTGTGAAATGAAGTGAAATCAACCTATTTCTAAGTGCAACCAATTTCAATAAAACTAATCCTAAAGTGCCAAAAAAGTAAGGATTCAAGTATGATACAATATTGAAAGTGAAGGATAAAATGCATTTGCAAAATTCATATGGAAGTGAATAACCGAAAACGATACCTTCAGCTAGAGATTACACCTAAGCATGAACTTGAAATGAAAGATGAAATCTGTACATGCAAACAAAGATAACGTGCAAGGATTCTTGAACATGAACTAGATTCTAAACAGACACTAAACAACCTACATGAAAACATGATCTAAAAAACAACAAATGAACCAAATGTCAAAGAAAAGTCAACAGAAATGCATCAAAACAGAGATGGTAAACACAAGCTGGAAAAAAAAATTTTAATTTCACGGTTTGGACTTCTTATGGGCAAATAAAACTGCACATAAACTGGAATATGTATGAGATACTAAAGGACTAAATGAAGACTAACATTGCAGCAGAAAACTTGAAGGAAAAAATGGCAAACAGTGGGAAGACACTAAAACCGAACCTGGCAGTGCACTGTAAACACATTGAATTGCAACAGAAAAATTCAATCTACTACCGTATACTGAAAATGAACTTTGTTTGAGCTAAGGACATATTCATCAACAAGTTTTCTACAAGTTTCAACAGAAAATTTTCAGAAATTATAAGAAAACAAGCTCAACAGACTCAAAAATTCAAACAAGTGCAAAATCTGGGAAAACAGAACATTATCGAAGAAAATTAACCAAACAGCAATTAAAAATACGAAATAAATTGCACAAAATGAAACTAAGCAAGTTAACTAATAAAACTAAAGATCTAAAGAAGAAAAGAGCCAAACAAATTGCCAAAGATGAGAGAAGATCCACGCCAAAGTCAGTCTTCATTTCTGGCCTGCACTGTCACCTACATTCAGCCATGACTTTCAACCTTGATCTGGATTGATGTGCTGCGAACTTGAAGCTGGATGTCAACTACGTTGTAGCTCTATGGATGAGAAATCTATGAAAAAAACCTTGAACAAAAACAATGCAGATTTGATAGAGTTATGATCCAAAAACTGCAGCTATATCAGAGAAGACAGATTCAAAACAGCTTTGAACGTCAATGAGAAATCAAATAAAATGAGCTGGAAAATGAATGTAAATGGAAGTTTTATTGCAAGAATCTTAAGGAGCACTGAAAAGTACTTAAGAAACTGTAAACTTGCAACAAAATTCAAAGGAAAACTACTGGAAAAATAATGTTTGGCTACTAAGAAAATGTAAAGAACAGAAATGTAAATGTAGGAAAATAAAGAAAGAAAAATTTAAAACCTACAACTAACTCTCCTCAAATGGCTGGCCCTCTCCCCCTATTTATAGCTAGAGGGAAGGAGCCTAAGATACTAAAAATTTTCAGAAATATCTTCAGTTGGCTGGGCTTCTAGAGCCTTCTTCATCTTCCTTTGTACACTGCTGGGTCACACCTGATGCTTGGCTGATTCTTCTCAGCAGAGTTGCAAGCCGACTTCACTCCTAATTGTTGATCCACAAAGTCAAAATAATAGCCAATCACAACCTACTAAATTGCCAGATCAACTCCTCTCTTTGGTGCTCTTGAACCAGCTTGTGAAGCCTTACAATTGTATGCTCACTCAACCTCCCATGCACATCCATACACCCATGCATCCTTAAATTTTTTTTTTTTTAAAACAAAAATTCCAGACACTTTATAAATATATTTATCATATATTTTACTAAAAAATTTTGCTAGAAAAGTTAAGAAAACTCTCTCAATGTCAATATTGCATATTTACACTAGCTTAGGTCATTTATACAAATTGCACCAAAAATTCCTCCAAATTATATAAAAAATGTCCAAAATTCCTTAATTCCATTTTTTGTATCTACACATGAGATTAATGTATATTTAGGAACAATTTTGCCAAAAATGCCAAGGAACAAGCCAAAATATGAGTCAAATTGCACTAAAAATAAGTATGAAAAAGCTAAAATGCTAATGCAATCAAGTACATATGGAGTGTCCAAAGAATCTGATGGCCTCGTTCTAGAAAATGAAATCCATGGTAAACGCTAGGTATTTTGTTTAGGAATTTACTAATCTTCTCTCCTGCTTGTAGGAGCAATACCATTTCTACAAACTACTTCTCTATTACTCTTCATGTAGCAATTTTTTTGTCTTCCATTTAGTCTTGTTCTTGCGGGCTTAGCTTGATGGCAAAACTTGAATTGATTGGATGCTATTACTTTACATTGCTCTGTATGTTATGCTGTTCTGACTTCTGAGATGTCATTTATGGGATATAGTAGCTGCTTTATATAGTGGATTTACGTTGTTAGGTTGAATTGAACTGATTTGTGCTATTTTGCTTCTAGTCTAGATCTTACCTCTAGCAGTTTACTGAGATGTAGTTTTACAGGGTGTATCAGTTGCTTGGTGAATCTGGCACTTACTACGGTGTACGCTTTGGGAAAAATATTCCCTGGGTAACAGAATTCCCTTTTGGATTCATTAGAGATCCGCAATATGTTGGGAGCATTATGAGTCTTGTTGCCTGTCTGTCTTGGGTACCCTTCCATTATATTCTCCTCTGGTCACTGGGCTATCTCTCTGGTCACTGGGCTATCTATTTATGATGCACATCGAATCAACAGAATATCCAGCTACACGTGCTAAGCCTCTATCCGGATTGCTGGAGGTTGCAGTTTGACTGGTTAGTGATTTTTGAAGAATTTTCCATGGTCACAATCGGCTAAAGACACTCCTTCTCCTTTTTTTTTTTTTTCCTTTCTTGTGTATTAGGCTACAATTTGAGATCCTTCTGCTCCATTTAAATTTGTGGCTTTATGGAGCATCACCTTTTGAAGAGCATTTGTTATGACTTTTAACTTGCCTAAATGTGATGACTTTTATTTTATTTTTTTTCCTTTTTATCAATTTAATACACTGCTGATGGTGGAAAAGGTGTTTATTTCTATATGCATTTGTGTTGCTTTGGGCCTTTTTTTTTTCTTTTCTACTACCTAGTAATAGTAGTAGGAAATCAGTTACATTTGTCGGACTGGAGAACTACACTAGAATTTGCTTTCTGGTAACTAGCTTCAGGACATGAACCAGACCATAATTTGACCTCTAACTCTACCGGGACCCACTTGAGAGTCATTGACTGACACTGTCCATCATTTAGATTCCGTTCTTACAATGGAAACATGGAATTTTGGCCCAAAAATGTTTTCTGAACATCATGCTCTTGAATTGTCCTAAATAAGTTCACCTCACTTTTTTTATGCTATTAACATCAGCTTCTAGCTAGGATTCCTTTCCTCTATAGGGCTGAAGAACCTTGCAATGTACTTCGAATTGCAAGTCAGGAACAAAAACAATAGAAATTTGCCCCACCTTCGAGATTTTATTATTATTATGGGTATCAGGTAAATCTGTCCAGACAGTTATGTAAATTTATTACTTCAGAACGATTGAATTTAAACAGAAATAAAATGTAGAATGGAAAACGAGAAACCATCAATAGTCGCACGAATTGTTGATTGAATGTTGAACTTTTAACTTCAGTAGACTGGATTTCATTAATCTCTTATACTAGAGCCAAGGACATATCGAATATTTGCATTGCTTGTTTAACAGCCTCAACATCAATATCTATTAACTTTCCCGTCTTGGATGAGACAATGGCACATTTCTTCTCTCCGGCATTGGGAACAAACAGTTTCCCCTTCTGCTCAGAGCAAAACAAACCAATGCTGCAGAAAAGTAGAAATTTACAAACTTTAAGATCAATAGTAATGTTGCTATAAATGATTTTACATGAATCTAGAGATATACCTTGGTTTTTCACGTGCATTTGCAAGTTGGATAGCTGCTGTATTTGTAGCAATCACCCCAGCTGAATCATTTATCAGAGCAGCCAACTAAAGAAAATGAACCATAGAATGAAGGTTCCAGTGTTAGAATTTGAAATCTTTGGATCTTTTTCTCATCATTCTTATCTGTTACATGTTTGATACTGACAGAAAATATGGAAGATAAGTTACATATTATCCATCTTTGCAAATAAGTTGAAAAGATCAACCATTAGAGGTTTGCAGCTGATACAAGGCCAATGATGTTTCAAATAAAGTGGTTTTCCAAGAAACCATCAACACAAACCAATTTAGGTCTCTACGTTGACAGATGTCACATCAAATGAGTGAAAGAAGTTGCGTACCTGTCCTGGGGTAGTGATAAAGACAATACTAGCATCATCTCCTACTTCCTCCTCCACATTCTCTCTTTCTTTCTCATGTGGAATCACAAAAAGTGGCTTAAATCCCCTGTTTGCACAATATAAAAGAATCAAATTTATATTAAAAAAAAAAACCGCATGATTAGTTTTAGGGACTATTTAGATGGGTAATGAGATTAATTCTAGTGAGAATGAAAGCAATAATAGTGATGAGATTAATCGTTATAGCGATGAGATAAAATACTGAAGTGATGAAATTAAAATCAGTAGTGGAAATGTGTTTTAAGTCCTTAAATCAATGCCTATGAGCTCCAGTTTATCAACTATCAAAACTAGTTTTACAGACTGATACAACTTGAGTTATATGGAATTTATTTAAATCATTTCCATTTTTCTAGACCCAAATATCTGAAAGATTTTTGCTTGCAAGAATCATCGAAACCAGAAACAATTTCTTGATAATTGTCCAATTTTTTGAGATGCATGATAAACAGATATACCATAGGCTGGCCTCTATGACAGCAACCAGATTAGCGTCGTCACAACTCACAACCACAATCATTTTTCAGCTAACCTCTGTAACTGTTGCAATATATTAGGAGAAGAATTCAAGGGAGTTCATACCTTATATCCTTTGCTATTTCAGCCCATACATGAATGGGAAGCAAGCTATCAGTATCACCCCTAGATTGCATTGAAGCCTTAGAGTCTGATTCTATGCCATGAATCACGATATATTTTCCTTTCTCTACACCTGCAATCCTGAACTTTTCTGCTACAACCTCCTTCAACTTCCTTGAAATTGACACTCTTAGTGGAGCTACATGGTGCCTAGGAACACTCCGAAATGGTCTCCCCAACCAATCAACCATCTGATGGTACCTATATCATACAAGACCTCTTGAAACTAGGAAGACAAAAAAAAAAAAAAAACAGAAAAATCATTTCACAATTCTTTTATACGTTTGAATTACCAATCTTGTACAACTCACATGTTATATCCAACTTCTGAAAGATTCAGACTATCTGCAGTAAAAGTTTCCGATAGGAGTAATCCTGCTCCTGCTGCATTCACGTTTGGGTAAATGTAGCTCACTCTATCTCGAGCGGTTGTCATAAACAAGAATGCTGCATGGCCAATTCCCGCCAGTTTGGTTGACAAAACCATGTCATAGTACCTATTCTGCGAGACCAGGGCATCATGCATAAAAATCTAACCCAAATTGATAGTCCCCTGTAAGTTCTAAATATGCAAGACGAGCACTAAACTAGTTAGATATGTTTACACATGCAAGTGTCTATGTTCAGTAAGCAAGCCGTACATGACATTCAATGATGTCATACCATACAAAAAATAAACAGTTAAGCCGATTTGGATTCTGCACACCTCCAGTGTGGTGGAATCCAGTCCCTTTTTGGGACTAATTGCACCGGAGTGCATTTGGATAGCATCCCGCAACACAGTTGCCTCTAATTGATTTATTTTCCTTGGATGGAAGAGATAAAGACCCAAGAGACAATATTAAGTTTTTATTTATTAGCACGTCTCTAAAATTTAAATTGAAACCGAGAAAAAAAAGATAAACTGAAACCTCAAAGCCACCAACCTTAAGAAGTCCAACCATTTCAGTGTATTCAGCAGGATCAGGCCAGTCTTCATCAGGATCATAAGCATTAGCCCATCTCACATTCTTGTTCAACTCATAAGTCTGCTTTCCTCTTGCTGATGCCAACACATCCACTTGAACACCAGGGTATCTGACAGAAACAAAGCATGAAAACCATTATAACTATTGAATTTGATACCAAAATCAAAGCTTCAAAATTTTCTGCACCAGAGTATTATACCTATCTTTGATCAACTGAATAGCAGGAAAAAACAATAAGTTTTCATAGACACCACCGGAAATGACACAGCAGCATCTCCTAACATCACCTCGTATTTTCAATGGCAATGAAGCCAGCTCCACGGTGAATCCCATTGGGAATTTCAAGAACCCATAAGGGTTATCAGGGTTATCAGGAGGTCTAGGATCTTCTTCCTGCTTACCATCAGTAAACAATGAACCATATTCCGCGTAGGGGTCCTCTTCATCATCCCCGAAAAGGTCTAGCCATGGGTTCTTTTTCTTTGCATGGGTTTGAACACTTGGTTTTTTGGTGCATGGAGAGTGGTCTAATGGGCTGAAACATGATGGCTTGGTGGTGAAGTGGGCAGAAGCCAGTGAAGGTGGACTTGTAAGAAATGGAGAAACAGTTTTGGGTAGCAGAGCAGTAGCCATTGATTTTCCCCTTTTTTTTTTCTTCACTTTGGCTTTGTTGTGTTTAGTTGGGAGCATTGGGAACATTTTTGGTCATTGGGATTTGAATATGTGGAAGGTGGATGGATAAGTGGGTCCCTACCTAAACTTTTTGCCCTATATTGCTGTTAAGGGTTTTGTTTTTGGATAATCACAAAACAACACCACAAAATTTTTGGCGATTTCAGTTCAGTCATTGCCATAACATGTGGCCCATTCAAGATTGACATTATTAAACTTCTTAATATAGTCCTTACATTGAAATTTTTGTGTGCTAAGCTATCATGTTATGGCCATAAAGATTAAATTTGCATTAACTTAGGTTACATTTTGCACATAAGATTAATTGAAAGATAAATACTAATTATCTTATTATATGTTTATTATGCACTTAAATAAAAAGATTGGATTATTGAAAAAGTTAGATCTCTATGTCAGTAAGATAATTCTATCCTTTAAAAAATTAAAGGATTATTTTTAATTTATGAGATTAAATTTATATATCTTATTATACCCTTAAAAATTATATTAATTTTTTAAATTGTATAAACTTTAAGAAAGGACAATTTTAACCAATAAATAAATTATCCTAAATTAATTCTTATACACATCAAACATAAAATAAAATTATATTATTTAATCTAATCTTATTTATAATATTATCTTATTATATCCAATCATAATCTTATATACAAAATATTACCTTAATTTCTGAATTTAGATCATCTTGAAATAACATTGTTATTAACATTTTATTTTGTAAGAAGGATCAAAAAAAAAATTTCAATTTAATTGATGAATTATAAAATAACACATCTTATATAAATATATAAAATTAAAAATCTTTGGACAAAGAAAAAAATCTAATATAAATGATTTTTTTTGACACGTGTATAATCTTAAATAAATGTTATATGCATTGCATCATAGATATCATAGAGTAATATATATATATATATATAATTTGTATTTTTATTAAAAATATTATATATTTATGTGTATAATAATATACATAAATTATATATCGCTCGGATCATATAATAGTATCATAATAAATATTATAATCTCGTCTCTTTAATCTAGCTTTTTTCTCTCTTTGTAATTTTTTTTTTTTACTCAGGAAACCTAAATTTATGTTTATTTTATTTTTTTCAATTGAAAAAATTATTTTACTTCTGAATTTTAGTGAAAATATACTTACCCTCTAATGGTTTAGAAAATGTTCTCCTATCCTTCTTAAACTTTGCAAAAATATACACTAACCTCTTGCAAGTGTAAATTACCATATAAATTTTTTTATGAAATTGCTATGTTAATTTTAAATGAAAAATACTCTTTATTAATTATTATTATTTATTTGTATCATTTTTTATTCAAAGCATTTTGAATTATAAAATTATTTAATTAATTTTAAAATTATTTTTATTTACTATTAAATTAAACTGTATTTATTTTGTTTTATTTCAAATACATATTAAATATTAAAATTTTATTTTAATTTAATTATGTATTAATTTTGATAAAAAAATATTAATTTGAGCACTCGAGCATTTAGATAAGAAAGTGCGCCTCATAAATTCATAACCGCCGTCCGGCTACTTAGACCGAAAAAATAAGAAACGGATTCACATCGACTCGGGTCGGAGTCGGACAAAACAAAAACAACCTTTTAAAAACCCAAACCCCTAATATGACGCGGCGCTCTCTCATTGGTGGATCCTCTGATTCGTTGCTTTCGCCACCAACATCCGAAGCTGCCCTTGGGCCCTGACCATCGAAAACACCAACCCCCAACAAACCAGTTCATCTTCTCGTTCTATTTTCCTACACTTTCCTACACTTTCACACCACCCAAACAGCACCATTCTTGATAACAACAATAGACGCATTTCCAATTTTGTCAACAGAATTTCTCTAATGTCACCAATGCAACACGAAATTTCTGTCCTACCAGCTTTCTTCTCCACTCAAAGTCTCCGCCCTCAGCCCTACAATTCTTAACCTTCCTTTTCACTCTGTTGCTTTTGAATTACTGATTCAAAGCTCACGGTTTAGTTCACAAAACTGTAAATTAGCAGCTTTTACGAGGCAATTTTGGGAAGATAAACAAATTGAGCCGTTAATGTCGGGACCACCGAGGGTAAGGTCTTCTAACATTGAAACGGAAATGGAATCGAGGTCGGTTCTGGGTCCGGCCGGGAACAAGGACCCGAGAAAACCGGCGCCGAAATTGGTGAAAAAAGCGGAAAAACCAGTCCAACAAACCGATGAGGGTAAAGACAACGAGAAGGATAAAGAATTGTTAAGTCCACAACAGAAGCCAATGCCGATTCCTCAGTCGCTAACTTTGACGGCTTCGACTTTGAGGCAGCAGGAAAGGAAGGTGGGGAATTTGTCGATGAGCTTGTCGTGTTTGTCGGACGGAGGAGCATCGCCTTCATCTGCAGGGTCATCGTCGCGTGGGAGGACTGGTGGAGAGCGGCGGGGTGGTGGCGTTGGAGTTGTAGTTGAGGTGAGGAGGAAGCAAAGCGGGTCGAAAGGGGTGAGTGGGGTAGTGATGGAATCAGGGGAAGGCTGTTGCTCGGAGAGCAAGAAAAGTTGTGGGTGGGTCACACCGAATTCGGGTATGTTTTTGAATTGTTTTTTTGGTGTTCTTTACTTGAGATCGTTTGGCTCTTGTAATTGGTAATGGTGTTGTTCCTTGTATCTTTAGTGCTTCAGACTTTGGAGTTGATTTCATGTTAAAATAGTTTAGATATGTTTGATCTTGTTGATCAATTGGTCTGAATTTTCAGTAGGGGAGTGGAGAAACAACTTGACACAAGTTACCTAAGTCCCCAGTCTAGTTTTCTTATTTATTATATAGGAAGGAACGAAATTTTGCGAATCATATGTAATTGTTGTTGGAAAGAAATTGCTTGTTGGTTATTAACTTGGTTTGGGATTGGCTCATTACTGATTTTGCACTTATTTTATGGGGTATTTGTATATCAAAACATTCTGTCAGTGCAGAAAATTTTCACTTTGAGGACTTTGAAGCTGTTCTCCATTCAGTTGGAAATACAAGTAAATTTTACTGAAAGGCTTTCTCTCACCTTATTGGATCCTATGGAGTAATTTTTATGCTGTTAGGAGAAGTGTAGCTTTTTATAGGATATAAATGTGGTTTATTTCTTTTTATTCTTGATTCGAATTCTTTTCAACACTATCAGCAACAAATATTGAGCAGTGCATATGCTGGAAAGAATCAGTAGGTAATATGTGAAGAGCACTGTGCTAGACTTATGGTACATTCTTTACAACAAAAGAGAAAAAGAAGGTTAATGCTTTCCTCAATGTTTGCACTGATTATATACTATATTCTTCCACATCTTGAAGTGGACAGTATAATTGTGAGTTTTCTTGATGTTGGATCTCACTAGAGAAAACATAACTACTCTTAAGCATTCAAGACATTCCAATTTTTTTATCAAGTAATTGGTTTTGAGTCTTATTTAGCTGGAAGTTGCTATTCTTTGAGCTATGGCACACTTAGTTCTAGAGGGGCGAGCTTGAGTTGTACTTGTTAAAATGTAGGATGGATCTAAAGTGATTCCCATGTAATTGAATTCAGCATGTTAAAGCAGGTGTACATTCTTTCTTTCTTTTTGAACAAGACTCTATCACTGCCTTCTTGTTGTTTTAATTACTCACAATTTTGTGTATTCAGTTACATTTGTGTCTACTATTATCAAATTTGGGAAAGGAATAGCTAGCATTTATCACAACATAATATTTGATTCACCTAAAAAGTATGCCATTTGGCATTTTAGCATGGCTGATAAAGAAGTTAACAGATGAATTAGGGCCAGTGAAATCTCATTCTGGAGACTAACTGTTTCAGATCATGTGTTGACTGATTTTCCCAAATGTAAATTTGGCCATCCTGAAAGATTACTGATTTGTACCTTCTCATACTTTGACCCAATTTTATCAGAGAACAAGCCATCTAAAACTGCATATATTTACTCTAATCTTTTTATGCATTATGTCATACTACACTTAAAATTATGGGCTTTTCATTTTACATGTGAAGAAAAAGAAGTTATTTTTCTTCATGTTTTATATGCAGTGTTGTTTTCAACTAGAGCAGCAACTCAGCTCTTTCTGCAAACATGTCTGTGTATGTCTGTGTTTGCATGATTCATGATTTGTAAAATATTACTTGTATTAAACTTCTTTTATTTACAATTCTCAATGCTATGAAACTGCAGTCATCCTAGTAATTTCAGATTGAACTAGTCATGTACGGAATTACTATGAATATAATTTATCAAGGGAAGGTCACTAAAGATGGTTTGATAAGCTAGACCTAAGAATATACTGAATATTCAAGTTAATTGAATTATAGAAAAAATTTTAGTCTGAAATTCGTATAATTTCAGTAATTTTAGATGGATTTGATCTTATATAGTGTTTATATTATTACTCTTAATTACAGATGAGATCACTAGAGATGTTTAGTAATATGGACCTGCGAATGCAATGTTTAAGAAGGATTTATCGCGTAGAAGTTCAGTGGCAAAATTTGTGAAAGGTAGACCCAAATTACCAATTTTGTCAGCAATTTGAGATTGATCTGATCTTGTATAAAACTTATATGGTGATTCTTCATTAAGAAGGATGCCAAAGATGTGTGGCAATTTAGTCCTTATGGATCCAGTGATAGGAAGGGTTTTCTGATTCAATTTAAGTGACAAAAGGGCAAAATGCAGAGCACGATTACTAGTTATTTTATAAGTAAATTACGGTGACTGGTTTTGGAATTCAGAGATTGGGTAGAGTAGGGGAAAAGTAATTCTCTCGCTGATTTGAATTGTGTCCAGTTGCATTCGTTTTTCCAATATCCAGCTAGTTAAATCCATTCTCCTTTTTAATAGTATGATTTGCTGCTCCTAAGTCCTAATACTTCTGCTCTAGCTCTCTCTCCTTTGCATTACATTAAGGCCGTGGGGACTTGCTTTCCCCAAAAAAATCCTACTCAGGCTTCTAGTGATGTAGCACTCACTTTTACTGTCTGTGTTTAGGTCACTTTTAATATCTTATAAACATTTGCAACTACTAACTGCTTTTTACTCTTTGAAAGATCCTTGTTATGTCGCTTTTCATGATGAAGAATGGGGAGTTCCTGTTCATGATGACAAGTATGTAATTTGACTGCAGTATTCATCTGTCTTAACGTATTTTAAATTCCTACAAGAAATTTCAGATTTTGATTTCCTTAGCATGATTATTTTGCAAATGCAGGAAACTGTTTGAATTGCTTAGCTTATCAGGTGCTTTGGCTGAACTGACATGGCCTACCATCCTTAACAAAAGGCATATGTTTAGGTATTGGTCATACTCTATGAACAGTTGAAAGTTGTCATCTGTGAATTTGGTGGTGCTTATCACATTAGCTTTCAAGTATTCATACAGAGTATTATGTCTGAAATACTTAATTTTTATTGATGGGCTTTTTATCTGTGACTGATGCAGATGCAGCATTGCTTTTATTTGTATGCAGGGAAATCTTTCTGGAGTTTGACCCAAGTGCCGTTTCAAAACTAAATGAGAAAAAGATAGGTGCTCCTGGAACCCCTGCCAGCTCTCTGCTATCTGAGCTCAAGATTCGAGGCATCATTGAAAATGCACGCCAAATATGCAAGGCAGGGACTCAATATCGTTATTGATATTTTAATCTCTATTTTCACATTGCTGAAGTAAAATTCAAACTCTTGATACGTTTATCTCTGAATTACTGATGGTTTGGCAAAGAAATCCCTAGCTACCATATATCTTAGTGGTAGTCAAAAAGCCATCAATCATAAACAGCTACGATTCGTTTACAACAGAATGAATTTAGAAGGATTCTCAGTTTTTTTTTTTTTTTTCTTAATGAATCAACAGCAGTTTTCTGTTATATGCAGATAATAGATGAGTTGGGGTCATTTGACAAGTACATTTGGAGCTTCGTGAATCACAAGCCAATAACTGGTCAATTTCGGTACCCTCGCCAGGTTCCCGTCAAGAGTCCAAAATCAGAGGTTATAAGCAAAGACCTTGTCAGAAGAGGATTTCGAAGCGTGGGGCCGACAGTTGTTTATTCATTTATGCAAGTGGCTGGACTGACTAATGCCCATCTTATTAGTTGCTTTAGGTTTCAGGAATGCATAACCGGAGTGGAATCAAAGGGAAAAGATAACGATGAAGAAGCAAATGATGCAACTAGAAAACTTGAGGAGACTAACTGACTTGGGATAGCTTGTCACCGGATGTCTTTGGAGTTACTTTGAAAGTGTGTATATACATATACATACATACATACATACATACATGTATATGATATGGGGTTTTGGTTGAGAGGCTGTAATTTGGTCTGTTGATTGAGAGTTTCACCCCCACTTTGATGTGGTGGATGATTCTGTGCTGGGGAATGATTTGTGTACAAATTGTTTACTTATCTAGAATTTGGGAGAAACATGTTGTGCATTCATAAGTGCCATTGACTATGATGGAAAAGGATCATATCAAGAAACTAGTTGTTACAATCCTTACATTTCCAATCAATGGAAATTTCCACAATTTCTTTTGAATAATGCTTGCATCAATTGTCGTATCAGTTGAGGTGGCTAGGAAAATGTGGCCTCCAGAATGGGAATATTTTCGGTTTAAAAAATTAAAAAAATATAAACTTTGAAAATTTAAAATATAGAACAGTGATGTAATAAAAAAATATATAAAAATTTATGAAAGTAAACATGAGTTAAAAATTTAATAAAAATTATGTATAATTTAATAAAAAAAATATGTATTTCATATTTTTCATGTCAATTCAAATTATTATATGTAATTTTTATATAAAATTTAATATAAATATAGAAATTATCAATATTTTGCATCATACAATCGTACAAAATTGTTAGGGGTGACACTACATCCAATCGTGAGACAAAGGGAAATAAAACGTGTGGACGGGCGGTTAATGCTAGCGGTCAAGTTATTTGTAAGAATAATCCATAGGCAGATGGTTGATATTTCTGGGGAAAATGCGGAAGCAGAAAGAACAAAGTCCGCTGACTGAGTAAAAGCCATTGGCATTTTTGGTCCCCAGCTGGCACTGGTGGCCTTTGGCTTAAGATTTTAAGAAACAAAATTGTACGGAATTGTAACATGTGATTGCGTGTGGGGGCGCACACGCTTGGGAGTCTCTAGTCATGGATGGCTTTGCTTATTTTCTGTCTTATTACAACGCAGCTTACAAGTCTGATAACGTACAGAACATTTCGTGTTTTGCATCTCACTGTCACAGACTCATTTGACTCGCTTTTTACTGTTACTTATTTATAATATAACTTATATATATATATAGAGAGAAAATGGATTAAGAACAATAACAATTTCATAAAAATTAATAATATTGAAATTCAAATTTTGATTTAATTAATTTATATACTCATTTTTAAAAAATAATATCCAATAAATCTTTAACACCTTCAATTTATTTCTTTATTCCTAAACTAAGACATTTTTATATTAAACAAATTAATAAGATAAATAAAATTTTTTTACGAATAAAGTAACACTAATAATTCAGAGACCCTCATTTAGCGCGAAGGGTTATTATCGACTTTAATTAAAAAATTTCATGATTTTGTTCAAAAAAATTCCCACAGGAATTGATTCAATATTATGAATTTCGCACATTAAAAAGGAAAATTTGATTTTTATATATTTAATGTTATAAATTTAATTTTATAATATTGATGCATTATGCATTTATTATCGAAAAATTAATTTGAAATATATAAAAAAAAGTAAAAGTTCAAGGTGTTCAAAAATGAAAAAAAAAAAAAAAAAAACCTTTATTTTGAGACATTTAAAAAAGAAAGAAAGATTAAAAAAAAATAGAAAGAGCGCATATCATTACAAAATTTTAATATGAAATTGAAGGCTTTACAAATAAAGGATGAAAATTAAACAAGAACTGAACATGATTCAACTTTTGCATAGATGTTTGATCTTCCTTAATAATCGAGAATTTTGTTTTCAATTACTTAGGTTAAATCAAGTATCATTTTGATAGTTTCATGATTAAGGTACGTGAATTACTTTGAAAGAATACTGAGGAAGAAGAAGCTCATGACACTCCAACACATTTGCTACCTAAATTATGACTGTTAATGGCCATAAATCCTTTTCTCCTCCTTGGTTTTTCCTGTTGAATTTCACCTTGCTCTATAAGCCTGAAGATTTTCTTTTCCCTGGTTGTCTCTCATTATTTGATTGATTTAACTATATATATATATATATATATATATATATATCCTATAATCAATAAAAATGGAAGGCAGAAAATTGGTTTCCATTCTTCTGTCATATGAACAATCGAATTGAGCTGAAAACATTTGAAACGCATTCCAATTCATTAAACATACTGTCTTATTGATTAAGGGAAGGCCTGCCATTGAACTGATTCTCAGACTAATTTCATAAAATAATGTTATAATTTATGATAAAAGTTTTGTCTATGGAACTTATTATAAAGCTACCAAGTTCACTTGATACTCAAAATTTTCTTTTTGAACATAAATTGAAAACACTTCTTGATGTTGATACTGAAATTAAAACAATATTTACAAGAAGCTGATGTTTGAACAGATTCTCATTTCTGTTTTTCATTTTGTTCCCCCAATTCTTGTGCAACGTTGTATTTACAAGTTACAACATTGTAAGTTCATAACATCTACCCATATCTCATAAAATCATAGAACTAAAAGGGAAAGGAAAAGGAAAGAAGAAAAATCTAATAAGACTTTCAATTGGATTTTGTTGAAAACATTCTTCCTGAAATGGCTGCTGCAAGTGCTGCTGTGAAATTGGGGTCTTTTGTCAAGGAAGATGCCATCTGTTCAACCAAATATTGTCTGGCTTCTGGTGAATCCAATTTTGGCTTGGAGTTTGGACCTTCATCAGTACTGGACTTAGATTTTGTGAGGTCCAGAGTAATGGTCGGTCCAGATGACTTAAGTGAGGCTGAACAAGGGACTGAACTGAGGGTTACACAACGGCTTGAACCTGACGTTGCTTCCATGTGAGAAGGGGGAAGATGATTATGTTCACCTTCATAAGTTGCAACCAGAACGCACTGATCATCAACGCTCCTTTGCACCTGAAAACATCATGACAATCAACTTTTAACTATTTGTTGCTTAAAATGTTTGTGACTTACATTATAATTAATGAATTAAGGATAGCTCTGCTCACCTTCTTTTTAACAGGGCAGCTAGGTGCGAAAGAGCACTTGAAGTAAGCTCTTGGGGAAGGATTATCCCTGGTGACCTTTTGCCCATATTTCCTCCACTGATATCCATCCTTTACAACCTGAAATACAAATGTAACAAACTTGAATAAGAAAGTAAACTTGAATTAATACATAGAATGTAATGAACTACATGTATTTTATGTGAAATATGGCAAGGATTTTGTAAACTTACAAGGCTAGTATCAGATGCTTCAGTCCTGACATAAGCTCTTGAAATTTTGGCCTTGATAATTTCTTCTCTGGGTTTCTTGCATGATTCTTCATCAGTTGAGCTGCTTTCTGAATTTCCAATGATGCCAAAGTTGTTGACATTATTGTTGCTGCTTTCAGACTTTCTTTTCTTTGAAGGGCTAAGCTCTTTTTCAGGGTTCTTGCTCATTAAATCCCTCAACTGGCTTTGTAAAGCATTGTAGTTCTCACACATTGCTGTTAACATTTCTGTTAGCTTCTTGTTTTCTGCATTTAAACGGTTCAATTCTTGCACTAAAGCACCAGTCTGCAAAATAAACAGCATAAAATTAGCAGCTTAAATATGAAAAACAAAAAAATAATATATAAGGATATAGCAAATTTTCGAGGTGATCGCTTTCCAAGAAAATTGATTCTCCTTGATGTCAAATTTCTAGCTAGTTGCAAATTTTATAGGCAGCAGAAAGATAAAATCATGTTTTTTTCCATAAAATACCCATGAACTTACATCTTCTTTCACTGAAAGTTTTCTTCCAAACACAATTAAGTTGCTATTCGGCTCCTTCTTCTGAAATATGAAAAGTCGAAAAGCTTCTCAGTTTAGCGACTCAACTAACAGGAAAACCACAAGAACTTTTCACAATTTCCAGATCAAATTTGGACGTACCGGAGTTTCAAGTTTAAGGGACCTAGCTGAAGCATTAAGATCCAATGAAGTATCCACCCATGAAGAAGTATCCATAGCTCTTTCAATTACCAGAATCAGTTTCTCTCAATCTTCTAGTAAAGACCCAGATCGAATATATCCACCAAAAACCTGGAAGTTGCCTCAAATTGACCAGGTAAGAAGAAGAAGAAGAAGAAGAGAAAGAAGCGGAAGCTAGTTTTTGCTGAAATACCTTCAACTGAAGTTCCAAACCAGTTTTTCCAATTGGCTCAAAAGAATCAAGTCATGACTATATATAGAAAGAAAGAAAAAAAAACAAGCCGAGGAAAGTTTGTGGAAATAGAGCAATAAACAAGAGAAAGAAACCGAAGACAGAAAGAAGAAAGATAAGATAAACAGGTCAGAAAGAGGATGGCATGTGCTTTTAGTAGAACTGATATGAGTAATAATGCCTTATTTATAAAGTAGTAGTAATATGGAGAAAATAAAAAAAAAATGAAAGAAAATAGATAAGAGTAATTGTCGGTCAGGTTTGAAAATCTCATAATTTTTTATTTTTGTCAAAGTCAAGCACACCATAAAACTAATGAAACCTTGGGTGCGGTTTTGTTTTTGTTTTTCATTTGTTGAGAGAGAGAGAGAGAAGTTCATTGTTGACTAATCTCTGTCCACAGAAACATACATCTATTTTTGTCTATTGGATGGGGATCTGCTTTCTTCTCACGTTTTCAAGGAATATTCCACGTTATATGAATCATTTATTTTTTAGTATTATGTTTTTATTTTGGTAGTCGGTGAAATGTTATTTCATGTTTTGAATTCATCTTCACTGTTATTTGCTATCCCTCGTGCAAGTTGTGGGTGGATTTTTTTGTGATAAAAGGTTCTCATCTAATATATCTTATTTATCAATTTAAATCAATTTATTTATATCAGATTTAATAAATTTATAAAAAAATGATTGTTTATAATCTCTCACTAAATTTTAACCAGAGCAGTTAAAAAAAATGAACAAATTCTATTACCACTCGAATCAATATTTATTAATGAATTTTTTATTTGTTATACGCATTTGAATATATGATCTTTCCTAAAAAAAACAATTCAAATTCTTAAAAAAAAAAAACTTTAGTGTTAGATGTAATTTTAAAATTACTATCTTATTGGTATATTTTTATGGTACGAAAATGACATGGAACACAGTATTTTTTTATGCTAAAACAAACTAAAAGAAAAAGATGCTACCAAAAAACTATTTAATATTGAGGGATTATTATCGATGAAAGTTTTTTGTTGATAATTATCGATGAATTGTTAACGATTTATCGACAAATCATAAAAAAAATTACTATAAATTTACTAACAAAAAATAATTATCAATATTCCGTAGGTGATGTTGGGGTAGGAAGTTGGCAAAGTGGCATGGGATTTACCGATAAAAAAAATCCATCGGTAATCTGTATATAAAGTCTTTACCAATAGATTTTTTTCCATCGATAAATAATATTTTGAAAAAAAAAACTAATTCGGTAACCAATATAAAATTAAAATCTCCAAATCTTTTTCTTATTTTTCCATCATAATCCCTAATCCAAACCCCTTTCTCACTCCCTAACCCCCTACCTCTCTCTTATTGTGGTCGTTGTCTTCATCATCACTCTTGTAGGTATATTTCTTTCTCATTTTGCCGTTGTGCATCTAATGTGTTTGAAATCACAAAAATTTCTTAATACTCGGTTCATCAATCCTCTTCTGCGTATTTGATGTCTTTAAATTTAATATTTCTTCCATATGGAATTGTTTTATGTCTTCATGCTTTCTTCCTCTTACTTAATGCTTGTATGTATTGGTGTGCACCTACATATTGAAGGAAAATGTCATGTTGGGTCAGAACTTTAAAGCTATCAATGAAGTGTAATTCTATAGTAGACCATTCCAAATATACTAAAAATGTATAATTAATTTGTAATTTATATTACAATTAAAACCACTTCAAACCCATTCAAATGTATTGCTCTTTGAGTTATTGCATGTGTTTTAAGATTATTTTAAACCTTAACTGGGAGAAAATAGTTGATCCTTTAATTTTGTCTGAGCAAAAATAAAATACATATGTCAATAAAGCATTTCCTGTTTTCTTATTTTCATAAGATTTACAACGATTATCCTTTTTAGACAATTAGAATTCTGCATAGCTACGATGTAATTGAAATTATTCAAAACCATAACTTTGTTTCAAATTGAACTAATTATTGTTGTTGCTTTATTTCGATGCTCATATTTAAGGGTTTTTCTCAAATAAGATCTTGTATGAGATAAATTTTTATTTTTTACAATCATCATTTCCTATCATTATTAAAGCAAATAACCTACTTTATCATTTCCTTAGCTTTGTCGTGTTTTTAAGCTTTATTTTAATCATGGAATAGATAAGTGCTTTGAAGAAGTAATCTTATATAAATTTTTTAAAGCAAAATAGCGTATCTACTTTAATAAATTATGCATCTTTCATGCATTCATTACTATCTATTACTATTTGCAATGTTAAGATATAGTTGAGACTAAGCTCTTCAAATTGATACTCACTAGCATTTGGTTTCTATTATCCAGTATGTTTGTTTGTCAGATAAAGCTTAAAATTTAAAAATTCATGACTCTTTGTGATAATGAATACTAATAAATACAAATATACATATCTTTTCTAGTAGCTTAAGCCAAAGATATATAGTATCTTTGGTATTAATTATACCTAATGGTCTTGATAGTTAAAGTAAATCAGACCCCTAATGTTTTAGAGTTCTATTTAGAATGACTCATGGTTATTTGGGGGTGCTGTTTTGTGTATGGCAAACAACTTTTGTTAGAGAAATGTGTTTACTTTAAACTATTACAACCACCTCAATTGCCCCTAAAACTTACTTACTTTGTTACTGATGCAACTACTTCTGCTTACGCTACATTGTTTTTATCTTCAACTTTCCCTTAACCCAAAGCTTTTGGCAATAAAGCATGGATTATTATCAATGCTTTGTTGTGGCCATTGACTTTTTTGTTGCTCTCAAGATTATGTAAGCACTAGATAGGTGAGAATTGGCTGTTTTGTTGATAATGTCGGTTAGTTGATTGATTAGGCCGTTTTAAGGGTGCAAAAATCTTGGAAGCATGTAAATTTGATACAGATAGACCTAGCAATTTGAAACATAAGACGATGACATTATACGAAAATGATATAAATAAAGGATACAAAGATAAAATGACTTAAAATTTTTTAAAAATCATAAATAGGTTTAACAAAATAAAAAAAAATTATATTTTATGTTTTCATGTCGACACGAACTATAACACCTGATTTTCATATAAAACACAACACGAATATAGTATTTTATACAACACGGTGATATGAATTATCAAGTCTAGATACAGAGGCTATTTATAAGAAATTTGGATAGTTTAGACATTTAACCCATGAATGCTTAATTATTTCAACATGATCATAGGATGTTGTCTTGTCTTGCTTGTGTTTTTTTTTTGTTCAAAAGTGATATTATGCAACAACATAAACATGATCTTAAACACATAATATGCTTATTGATACTTTAAGTTTGAGGAATACTACTTCAATATTTTAACTTTCATTTCCTACTGTGTAGGTTTTCTGATTTTATAAATTTCTTTTATATTTGGATATTTGAACTACTAAAATTTGAAAGGATTAAATAATATTTCAACCACTATAATTTATATATGTTCGAGTTTTTTAATTTAAAGACTTTTAATCCTCTATTGATTCTATGTATGGGCAACTATTTAGTTGTACATTTTTATTTAATCTACTTATATGGTTGCATGATCAAATGAACCCCCCATTTTCTTTGGAAAACCTTGTTAAGTTTTTAGTTTTTGCAAGAGAAAATGGGATGTATTGCTTTTTGTTTTCTAGTTGTATTAACTAATTATTTGGCCTTTATATTTATTTGAGAAACAACAAATGCATGAAAGTTATAAATTTTATTCAAAAAAAAAATTCTTTCCTAACTTTCTTCAAGAATTAACTCTTGATTGGTGAAAATTACAACAAAACATGCAAAACTTGTTAGAGATTGTGAAGTGACTGCACCTTCTGGAACAACAATTCTTTATCCAACTATTGGTGGCAACATTCATAGTTTCGAAGCTTTAACTCCTTGTGCACACTTTGATTTTTTTTTTTTTTTGTATTTTCATTTAATTAGAATTTGTAAACAACTTTGTAAAATATTATTATTCTTTTGTAAATGAAATGAAATGTTTTGTTTTTATTTATTTATTCTATTTATGTATATTTTAATATTTATATAATTATTTAAAAAATAAATTTAATAAAAAATTAAATTAAATGAAAAAAATTATAAATAAAATATAATTAAAAATAATTAAAAAAAGCATTATCGATAGAAATATTAACTATTACTAACGTAATTTTAATGATTATTAATGAATTATCTATGAATTACTAATAAATTTTATCGACAAATTTCTAACACAATTATTGAAGGAAAATTTACTAACAAAGTATTTATCGATGAAAATTTTTCATTGGTAATTACTAACAAAATTTTTAATTTACTAACGAAACACTATTACCAACTTGCTTACTACTAACAAAATTTTTTTTAATAAATTCCTTTAGTAAAAGTATTACCGACGAAAAGTTTTATTGATGAAACCTTTTTTCTAGTAGTGAGACTAATACTATCAGAGGTCTAGAGAGAGATGACGGGATTTGTTATGGCAACGAAGATAAGATCTAAAACATTGCCACTGGTTACTTTAGATAACTTTTCCAAACTTAAGGATGCAATCACACTAAAAAAAATCTTTGAGGCTATTGAAATATAAGTATCATACCACATAAAAGAACTTTACTTACAAAATTCAAAACTAATAAGACGTTGATAACCCTCAAACAAATGTATCTTAGTAAAGCTCTAGGTCTTGATGATATACATGCTTTGGTTTATCAAAAATTCTGGCATATAATAGGTAGTGATGTGGAAAGGAAACTAGATGAGGTTAATCATACTACTATTGTCCTCACCTAAAAAGCATCACTTAATTTAAACCCATTAACCTGTGTAATGTCCTTTACAAGTTAGTAGCTAAAGTCTTAGTGAACAAGCTTAAATTAGTTCTTTTTTTTTACATTAGTGAAACCTAAAGTGCATTTATACCAGTAAGCTTATAATGGATAACATAATTATTACACTCTTTAAGAAATAAAAGACTAGTGCAAAATGATTTGTTTTCTTTAAAACTAAATATGAGCAAAGCTTATGATAGGGTTAAATGACTTTTTTTTAGCTCAATTAAAGAGAGAATTAAAGCCAAGTTACAGGGTTGGAATAATAGATGTCTATCATATGGGAAAAATAAGGTGTTTATCAAAAAGGCCCTTTAAGCAACTCCCTCA